TGGGGAAGGGGGCGCCCATCCCAGTCCTTCTGGATCACAGCTAGATCACCAGGGATGCCACTGATGTTTTATGCCGGACAGCTCTTTACTGGACATTTAACGGCCTCATCCCTGTTAAGTGCCAGGAGTGCTAACGCTACCCAGAAACCCAAACCCCTTACCTCATTTCCTGATGTGCCCCGATAGATTCTTCTAGTGCTTCAACAGAAACCCTTTCTATATCAAAGTTCAGTTGTTCCTTAGGTGTTGGATGGTTCAGGCAGTTTATAAACCCTTCCTGTCCCTTTCCCAGGCCCAGCCTGCTAGTGCCTCACTCAAATCTCCAAGTTCATAAGTTGAGAAGGAAACCTTTGGGAAGAGTGTTGGACTCCACCCCCAAACATGTGAACTTCTCTGCCAACAGCTTGATCTGCTTCCCCAGTTCATTTCTCTTTAATGATGGTGTCTGACCGACCTCTTCTTGCCTCTTGCACTGTCTCCAGGTTGGAACTGGCTCAAAGCAGTTAATGAGGCTACCCACAATACAGGATAGAAAGGACGGGGGATATTTATTGATTAACGATAATTGTCAGTTTTTAAAGTTTTTATTTTTGGCAATAAAGAGCACAACATAATCTCCTTCATGCGTCATCGTGCCTCTAGCTGAGCCAGCCAGCTCTGCCTACACCACCCCAAGGCCTTGGGACCCGGGCTTTCCCCTTCAGACTAGTTTATTCCCTGGGTGGGTTCAGAGTGCCCTCCTGCCACAGCTTGAATAGTGGTTATTTACAAGGTCTGTCCCCGCAAATCAGAACCCTAACATAGTAAAAAACAAACACACACAAAGGTTTGATGTGAATAGAAAGTTAGCCCTTCTGCAAGGTAGTCAATAAATACCAGCACTAGAAAATCAATTGCTTTAATTGCATGTCAGCAGAAAGCCTCAGCACCATGTGGGGAGGAGGGAAGCCTGGATTTCTGAGTGCTTTGGCCTGGCCACAGGCAGCCAGACAGGGGCGAGGGAGCCCCCTCTGCTGGGCATTGCCCTCTCCCACCAGTAAGAAGATCAATGGGACTGGCCATCTCCCATCCTCCATCTAGCTGAGGTAACTAGCACCCCCATCCCATGGGTATCTGAGCCACTAGGCAGGAAGGAGCCTGTGCAGAAATGACATTTTAAACCGAATTTTCACCTGAGATGCCACCAGATGTCACCTCTGCTTAAAATTCCAAGTCAAAGCCACCAAGTGGTGCAGTGGAAGTCTAGAGCCTTCCGGTGCCACTCTGGGCCCAGAAGAACGGAAAAGCCACTTGCTGTTGGGGGCCCCTGGGCTGCTTGAGAAAAGCCCATGGCCAGGGTGCCAGCCTCGCCTTCTGATTGTCCCCCTCTAGCCTTAACAGTTCTAGCAGGTCCTGGCAGCAGAGGGGCACACCCGGGAGGACAGGACAACTGCCCTCATACTCAAAATCAACCTTAGCTGTGGCCTGGTCATGGGACTAAAATGTGTATGTGGGGAGGGGAAGTCTCATTAATATAGACTGTATCATAAGCCGTATATATTAAAATCATTAACAGTAGAGAGTCCCATGGTAGCTCCAGCCCCTCACATGCTCAGACGGCATGGCCAGCCCTGTGCCGTGGTCCAGCCTTACCCTTGAGGGCAAGGAAGGGATAGCTGCTGCCTTTCTCTGGGCTCTTGGCCAGCAGTCCCTTGAGGCTGTCCATGGTCACTGCAGGCAGCCCTGCAGCAGGCAGCCCCCGTAGTGGTTGGTGCACACTGGCCTTGCTGTCACTGCGATGGGGTCTGGGCCTCACAGCTGTCCCCCTGCCTGGGCTTTGGCTTTAGCAGGATGAATCTGTTGAGGAGGTCTGTTTCTGAGCTGGCCTGGGCTGCCCCATAGCCCTCACCTGTGGACACAAGGCAGGCTTAGAACACACATCCCAGTCAGAAGCCCAGTAGGCCCCATCCTCCATGTGCCTCCCGTGAGGCAGGACCATGACTCACCTGCATAGCTGGAGGCTTCAGCGATGTTCTGGGAGCCCGTGATGTGGTGCCAGTAGGCACTGCGGGGCAGCATGGTTGTGGGCGTGCAGGGATAGGAGTAGTGCTCCGTGCCCTTGTTCAGCAGCTGTGGTAGAGAGGTCCCTCCCGTGAGCTCCGGGAGCAAGTGGCTTAACCCAGAGCAACAGGCTACTTCCTGTGTGCATACTGGGTCGCAGCTGGTAGATTTGACAGCCTGCCCACCTCCACCCTCCTCAGGTCCAGGATGCCCATGTCCTCACCCTCACATTCTTCTCCATCTCAAGCAGGACTCGCTTGTGCTGTTCGGCAATGGTCAGGGTGGCACTGTGGACCCGCTGGTAAATCTGCTCTCCCTCCTGTGTCTGGAAGGTGTAGAGCCCTTCCCCAGCATCGCACATCCTGGGGACACAGGTAGCACACAAGATGCTGCTGGGTTAGGCCCTCCTGTGCCCCAGCTCTAACACCACGCTGGGGCCTCTGGGAGTCCGACCAAAGCTACTGAGCACTTTGGTGTGTGCCCCAATGGTGTTGGAAGTGCTTCTCAAGTATCAACTCATTTCGCAGTCTCCTATCACCTCCCAGTGATCTATGTGTTAGTTTCCCTCGTCAGTATGGGTTTCTTAGGCTATTTTACAGATGAGGAAATGAGGCGTACAGAGAGACGCCAGGTATCCTAACCATGTTACATGAGCACAGAGGATTTTACAGGATTTAAGTCTAGGAAGCTGGCACCAGAGTTCATGCCGGGGGACAGCTGAACCTCAGCATAACGATGAGGTGAGGTACTTGTACCGTCCTCCATTTGAGGATGACATGAAGAAACAGAGTTGAGCCCACAATTACAGAGCCTGGTCTGTGTTGGGGACAGCACGGCAGCCCAGAAGTTCAATTTTCGGCAAATGAGTTCCACTTGACCTGCACGGAGCCTCAATCTCTTCATCTGTAGAATGGGAAGACTGAGTTCCCCTTTGGTCTACTCTGCAAATGAATTCCTAGGCCCTTGCCTGATGGTGAGTGGTGGGACAGGGGGTGCGGGAGGTTTGAGGCTCCTACCGGCCAGCCTCGAAGGTAAAGCGTGTGGCATCCCGGCCATAGCGGCGCAGCGAGCAGAGGGGCCACGAGACGAGCTTCACGCGGGGGTTGTGTATGTCCCAGAGGTAGATGTTTTCGTGGGTGATCTGCAGCTTGCACTCACCATACACATCCAGGTTAGGGCAGGGCAACAGGAAGACATTGAACCGATCTGGAATGGGAGAGGACAGGTGGGTGCGGGGTTCTTTTCTCCTTCCCTCCTCCCCCATCCTCCTCCCTCTTCTCTCCTCCCCCTCCTTCTCCCCGCCCCCACACCAGTCTCACCTGTCTGCTCACATTGCACCCCTGGGGCCAGGAGGTCTGGTTCCCCAAGACTGATATCGTTGAGCCTTGACCCCAGACACTCCACAGACAATGTCTTGTACCACTCCTCTGCCTCCAGCTCTGAGGACAGTGACATCCCGTTATGCTATTGACTGGTCTCCGGCAGCCCCACCAGAGACCCCGTCTGCCTCAGCCCAAGGTAGTCCACTACGCCAGTGGATTCTGCCTGCCCACCCCACCTCAGTCCCAGGGGCCTGTTCTCCCCCGACCCACTCCCAGCCAAGGCTAGCTTTGCTCTGTGCCTCACATGACCACTGGCTAATAACCTGCCCAGGGCAGGGGGCAGATAGAAGCCTAAACCCTGGCTACTCACCTGAGTCACAGGTGAACGTTCGTGCTGAGTCGTCCGCAAAGATGATGGCCACTGCCTGCCGCTTGGTCTCCTTGGGGAGCCGTGTGACACACTTAACGTTGCTGATCTCGGTCACCTGGGACGGTAGCCACAAGGGACTCAGCCTCCCTCTGCACCCCCCACAGCTCTGCCACCCCTAGAATGGTGCTCTTGGGCCCCCCAGGACCCACTATGTCAATCATTGTTTAAAGGCTGGGAGAGGTAACCTTTGTCCCCTAACCTTGGGGCAGCCTCGGAGGCACACTGATTTCTCATCTGGGTACTTTTCCAGCCGCTGTGGCCCCTTGCTGGAGGATTTCCGAAACACCAGCCAGCAGCGCCTATAGATCTGTGGGGAAAGAAGGCAAGGATCAGTCTTCACTGCTTCCCTCCCAGCCAACACAGAGCCCTGCAGTTCCTCCTGCCGGCCACAGGGGGCGGTGCCACACAGTCCAAGGGAAGAGTCCCAGCCCAGGAGAAAGCCTGAGGGTGCAGACAGCAGCAAGGACCCCTGGGGAGAGAGGCCCCTCCTCATATTAATCGTCACTTGGCTGGTCCTGAAAAGCTGTTCCACATACAGTGGTGTCCTGAGTTCCCACTGACTCAGGCACTATAAACTCATTCACATACAGGGTCACTATGAGTTAGAATCCACTGGACTTGGTAACAGTGAGGGAGAGAGAGACTTCAGCTGGCAAAGGGCCTGAGGCCTGAGCCAGGGAGGGAGCCCTGGAAGGCACCAGGTGTCTGATAAGCAGGTGTCGCCCCTATAGCACTACAGAGTAGCTGGCTCTGTCCCTCCCTCCCGGGCTTCTTGTCCCTCGGGAGGAGTCCAGGAAGCCGTGGAAAATTAGGAGTCCTGGTGTGGCGCTGTGGGTTAATGCGCCAGACTGCAAAGCCGTTTGAACTATAAGGTCGGTGGTTCAAGCTCACCAGTCGCTCCTTGGAAACCCTATACAGGGTCGCTATGGGTCGGAACTGACTCGACAGCACTTAACAACAACAACAAGGTACAAAGGCATCGGCTACAGTCCAGGCAAGGTGATCTGGGGTAACCCCAGGTTCTTGGCCTCCAACAGCCTCTGGTTTCCCACCTGGTCTGGGAGATACACCAGGACTCCTATAAGGTTGGTTAGAGAATGAGGAGAGGGGATGAAATGTGAGCTGCAGGATTCCTCAGCCAGCTCTGAGCCCAGGTACTATGGTGATGTTCCAGATGGGAGTAGGCAGGGAGCTAATCCCCATCTCTGGAAGACTAGCTCTCTTGGGACTGGCTCTTCTGGGACCCTGGCCAGAACGTCGTATGCTGTCTCTGGAACTACACGGTCTGTTAGAATACTAGCACCAGTGTTTGTTAGCTGATGCTTAACATTTTGGTGCCTCTGTTTTCCCACCTATAAAATGGGGATAATGGTGGTCCTGAGGATTGTAAAGTACTAGTAACAAAATGTGCGAACAGAAGCCACTCAGCCAGGCCTTTCTGACTCCTGTGTGGAACCCTAAGGGGAGTGTCTGCCCCTGGTCCTGGCTCAGCACCTGGCCTATCCAGCTAAACCGCAGTTCTCAGCTGGGGAGACTGTTTAGGGGAGAGACTATATCTAATTCTCAGAATCCTTACATCCTGGTATCCTTCTTAACAAAGCCTGAACAAATGAATGACCATATGAAGAGACAATAGATGGATGGGTAGATGAATGGATGGATGGGCTTCTTAAGGCAGAGACTGTATCTAATTCTCAGAATCCTTACTCACATCCTGGTACCCTCTTACGAAAGCCTGCTGATCACATGAATGAGCACAATAAGGGACAGTGAATGGATGGATGCTGACCACCCAGACATGACCTGCCAGGTTAGGTTCTACACTGCCTGCAGTGTTGGGGGCAGAAGGTTTAGGGGCCTGAGCACTCTGGTTGCCTGGTTACAGGAAGCACACACACACAGCCCCAGGAAGCTACCAAACTCAAGAGTCCTCCTTCACTACTTCTCACAGCTCTTTGATCAGCGCTTCAGAAACACTCTGACACAGCTCTGCGGTGGGAGGAAGCAGGTAGGAGGGTGGGCTTGCAAGGATTCTAGTTCTTCCCCCTCCCTCCTGTGTGGGCTGAGACAAGAATGGCTGGGTCCCCTGAGGGTGACCAAAGCCCCTTGCTTCAGGGAAGCAGGCTCAGGTCTGCAGAGGAAGGCTGACTTCCCTGGGGAGACACTCCAAACTGGCCTCACCCCAGTTCCCCACTCCTACCACTGGCTGTGCCCACCTGTTGGCACTCGGTTCCACGTTTCTTCTAGAACAGATCTGAGATGGAGCCCCAGTGGCTGGTCCTGTGGTTGCCATCTTTCTGGCAAGCTCTGACTTATACAGGGCCTCGTGCCTGCTGGCCCCTAGGGACCTGCTCAATCCAGGTCAGGTCACAGGAACAAGGAGTCTCACTAGAAGCTAGGCCCTGCTCTCTAGGCCTCCCCACCTTGATTAGAACCGCCTTTTGTTCTGTGGTCGCTTCCTTCTTAGAGGAAGAGCAAAGTGGGCTGATGTCTACCGAGCTGGGCTACAAATTCAAATCCAGACGAGACCCTACTCATGCCCACCAGGTCAGTCCTACTAGCCTGTCCACCTGTCAGTGAGACTGCTGTCCCTGTCCAGCCCTTAGGGGCCAGTGGAGCCACAAGAGGGAAAGGAGGAGCCGGAAGCATTTCCTACCCAAGGCCAGCTCTGCTCCACTGGGTAGCCAGGCAAGAAAGTGGCTCCCTGCCCTCAGGATCCACTTCAGGCAGACTGACCCCACTCCGCCCCCACATCCCTCTCAAGGCAGGAGATCAGGGTTAAACATCAAGATTGGGCTATCTCAGTCACCAGCGCTGTCCTCGGGATTGGGGTCGGGGCTAGTGGGAAATAGAGGAAGCTCTGAGATGAAATTCCCCAAGATCAGTGAGTTAGTCCCTGGGGTCCCTGCTCATGTCCTCTAGGGGTGGGGTATGTCTTCACTAGTTGGGGGCCTATGGGTGCACAATCCAGCAGACAAGGGTCTGAGGCCTTGTCTCTGAAGCCCCTCCAAGCCCTAGCTAGGAGCCAAACACAGGCAAGTAGGGAGCCGCCAGCCAGTAACCCCAAGGAAAACATCCTGTCCTACAGCCCTGGGCATCCCACCCCACGTGGGCATCCCACCCCACGTTGTTCTCATTCATAAACCACACACATGTCAGCCCTGGCACCCCCGTCTCCTCAGTCAACCACGCTCCTCTTCACACACAGCTGTAACATCAAAACCAACACCCAGAAAGATATGAATAAAGGAATCTTTCCACAGAAGCCTCAGGAGTAGGGGGAGGTGATGATGTACTTAAAAGAGGCAAGATGAGGACAGAGGAGAGGAGGGGAGGGGAAGGGAGGGGAGGGCGGTAAAGGGAAGTGAGGAGTTGGTTCTGGGCTCACACAGCAGCAGCAGTGGCCGGCCCACTGGACACCACCACCGCTGGCCCAGCCGCTGGGATGCCAGCCAGACAGTGGACTGGGGTGGGGGTTGCAGCAGACAGCTCTGGGCCCAGGCACATGCCAGGCAATCTGCTGGCAAGAAGACCACAAATGCATGGTGCCAGGCAGTAGAAGGCAGGTGCGGTGCACCCTGCCACCTGAACCTCCAGACAGAATCCTCAACACCCATCCCTGCCTCAGCGGGGTTCCTTGGAGGGTCGCTCACCCCGAGCTTCCTGCTTTTCATCTTCACGTAGCCTTGTTTGACGATGTCGTTGAAATTGGTCGCCATGGTTCTCCACTGTCTCTGGGGCGTTGGGCTGGTTGAGGGGAGGGGAGGGATGCCCAGGTAGCCTTGGTTTCCGGCTCGTGTGATCACCTGTTTCAGAAGCTCCGTCGGGGGCCTTCAGGCTGGGCTGTTCCTCACCTCACCCGCCTCAGCATTGTTCTAGCAGCTCCAGCTCCCAGCGCCTGCTGAAAATAAAAATGACAGAGAGCTTAGAGACAGTGACATCTTTCTCTTCCCCTGGCTGTCTCGCTCTTTTTTTCCTTCCTCTTCCCACACTCCTCCCTCCTTCCCTCCGCCCGCCCCGCCAGCCCGCCCTCCTTCCTTCCCTTTCCTCCCCACCCCAGGACGACAGAACCATTCAGGAAAACCGAGGTGGAGGCAGCGCAGAGGAAAATGGTCCAGCCCAGTCCCCTCCCTCAAGGCTGGCGGTTAACCCATTCCTGGAAGGATGGGCCAAGGCCCTTGGGGTGGAGGTGGAGACAGAGGAAAGGAGGTGGCCCAGAGGCCTGGGCTATGTTTGGCACAAGGCTACTGTCCCTCAGCAAGTGGGCCCTGGACCTGGGGTAACCTTCCCAGAGCAAGTTCCCCTCCTATGCACAGGAACCCCCAGAGGAGCTGCTTCCCAGAAATGGGGGTGGTGTCCCAGGCCATGCCACAGACACGGCCTGGTATCTGAATGAACCCCAATTTCCCTGAGGCTAAAGACAATTTGCCTTGTCAGCTTCGGCAGACTCCCAAGTCCCTCTGCACCACCTGGCCCTATATCTAGTTTTCTTCAAGCCCAGGTCTGAGGCTGAGAATCATTTCCTCAAGCCCACTCTGGCTGTGCCCCCTTACCCCACTCCCCCCATCGCTGGCACTCTTTGGCAGCTCCTCTGGCTACTGCTTCCTGGGTGGAAGGGCAGAGTCCAGTAGGGCGGGCCCCCAGATTAGCCAGAGGAATGTGCTGGGCCTGTGGAAGGTGCCCACTGTGGAAGGTGCCCTGGTGCTGGGAAGACTGGGTGAGAGTGGGAGGTCAGGGCCTGGGGCCCCTAAGGGGGCTAGGCAGGCAGGCTGCCAGGGCCTGGGCACAGGTGGTGTTGATTACAGGGAGAATGAGCTATCACCTGGGATCTGCAGAGGACACAGCCCAAAGGGATGCAGGAGACAGTAAGGGGAAGGGGGAATCAAAGAGATATTAATATGGAATAGGAATGGGGGGCATCAGGGGCCATCCAGAATAGGCAGATAAAATGGATAACAAACTCAGGGGGAGTTCAGTTCATCATCCTCATTTCATAGATGGGGATATCCAGGGTCAGTGACGGAGGTGGGCCTAGTGGTAGAATGTCCTGTGGTCATCTAAGCCCTCCCTGACATTCAACCTCAGGGACAGTGCTATACCAGCAACATGTCGTCCCCCCCTCATGTCTCCGAGATCACTGAATGGGAAGGGAACAGCATTTTTGGGGTCAGCTGGACATCTGGGTTGCCAAGATGGGGCCCTGGGACAGGCTTGCTGCTGGATCTGCCAGAAGCTTGGTGTTAATTAATCTCCTGGAGGTGTGTCTTTTGAGCCCCTAACAAGGAACAGATGGGCTGTCCCAGCAGGCACATATAAACAAGGGAAGGGCATTCCCCAACCCCACTTCCACCCTGAAGGTCCTCTTTATCACCCCTCAGTTCCCTTCCTGTTAGTCACCCCGCTAAGGTCCAATAGGAGTTCTGGTGTGACTCTGTAGGATACAAGCACTGGACCACAGTTTGGTTTGAACCACAAGGTTAGCAGTTCAAACTCAGGACCGCTGAGTTGGAACCGATGCAACAGCACTTAATAACAACAAACAGGGTCCAAGACCCTCTTATACCCAAGTGGCCTGTTTCACTCTTGTAAGGTCAGGTCTGGAGTCCACTCCCTGGTATTAACCCTCAAGAACCCCATAGCGCCTGGGCCTTGGATGTTTCCCAGCTCTGTCTCCACCTGTGAGCCTGCCTTGCCATGAAGCTGCCTTGAAAGGTGACAAGCAGTTGGGCCCACAACACAGAAGACTCTTTTAGAACAAGCCAACAAACACAGGTTGAGCTTGTGGTTCAAATCCAGGGCAAGCCACTTAACATTTCTGTGCCTCAGTTTCCCCACTGGTTAAAAAAAAGTGTGTGGGGGGGAATAAATCCATCCCTCTAAATGATAAATGAATCCATGAAGCACCTTACCCCAGATTCAGGCATGGGAGTGTCTACTTGCCTGGCCATTTGGGACTGAGAATTCTGCTCTGAAAACTCCAAGGACAGTTTCATTATTTGTTTTTGAGAGCTGCTGCCCTCGGTTAAGCATCTATCTCCTTTTCTAAAGACTGTGAAACCCCCACCTGCCCAATGCAAGACTTCCCACTGCATCAGCCATCTCTCAGTGACATTGTGAGTGTCTACATAACTCTCAGAGTGTCCCTGCCATATATGTCCATAGGTCCGTCCCCTCCCTGTACCGGCTCTTAAAATCAGCCCCACAGATATAAACCAGTGGAGCAACCTGGGTGGTTCACTCCAGCCCCCAGGCACAGGGAGACTCCCCGTCCCTAGTGAGTTTTGCCACAGGCAAGGCATGACTGGAGCCCAAAATGGTACAGCCAAGGGGGACTGGGAAGGCTGGGAGAGGAGAGGGGCAATGAGACCAAGGTGTGAGGGTAACTGAGAACCAAGCTACCCCCTCCCAGAGGGGCTGCGCAAGCCCTACAGGACGTTCACTGTAGAATCAGCAGGCTCAGATCTGTGGCTGAGAATCATCTGCCCAAGCCCACTCTGGCCCTGCAGAAACTGGGCAGAGGCAACCCCTAAGACCACCCTTTCCCTCATCACTCACCACTGGGATGCCGCTAATTTGAGAGGCCCCAGGTCCCATTTCCCAGCCCTGGGCATAAGACCGATGCATGAGTTTAGCTCTGAGCAGCCAGAGGAGCTAGGCAGGGTCTCCCGCTCCTCCTCTTGCCTGGCATTTACCAGGCTCAGAAATTCCCCCTCCCCAGAAGGGCAGGTGTCCCAGGGGGAAGGGGGTGGGGAGGGAAAGGAGAGGGAGGCTCCCCAAGCCCAGCAGAGGGGGTGGGCTGACCCTCCTGCCCACCTGCCCCAGGGACAGGGCTCTGAGCACACCCTCCCTGCACCTGGATTCTGCCTGAAGGCTTTGGCTCCAGAACAAACGCTCCTCACAGAGGTTGGCAGCCAATGACTGAGCAAGAGCAGCCGCTGGTCTCACTCTGCTCCCCACCCCATGACAGATCAGATCTTATCTTCAGGGAGGGCTTCAGGGACAGTCTTACCTAGCCACTGTCTCACTGTCCCCACCCCACATCAGAGATCCTATCAGTAGGATTCTAGGCAGCACCAGGGACATTTCCCATCACCCACTGGTCTGGCTCTCTTCCCCCAGGGCAAATGTTCAGGGACCAGCACAAGTCTGTTCCTCCTCCCGCAAGGCCCACTTGGATCCAGAACACTGCAGATCTCGTCCTAGTTGTGTGGTAAGGGCAGAGTAAATACCCTACTGGGTAGAGAGGCAGGGTAGGTGGATGAGGCACCTCAATCGTCCCTTGAGCCCTAAAGCCAACACCTTTTGTACTTTCCCAGGCTCAGCTCACCTCAGTGGCCCAGCCATCCTGCCTGCTTCCCTTCCTCAACACGCCAAATGCCTGCCCATGTGGAGCCACCACACTTGGCTGTTACTCCACCTGCAACATTTCCCTGCACAGGTCAAAAGAGCTCCCGCCACCCACCACCATCCCAGCATCCTGCTCTCTGTCTTCATCACACGAATCAGTATGAATTCTCTTGTTCCTTCATCTGCCCTCAGCTCCTTGGCGGCTAGTGAACCACTCCACCTTGTGCCGAATAGGTGCTTGACAGATAGCTGTCCAATGAAAGAGTCGTTCTCTTTAGAACCTGTCCTCTTTATACCTTTCTTGACCCACCACCAATGTTCCTCTGGTCCCATCCTGAGCAGATGTGTGAGACCAGCCATGGGTTCTCATCTTCCTGGGGTCCCAGTGCTGATAACTACTGGAAGTCAGCTAGACCCAAGACCCACAGTTGGGATCAATGCTGCTTCAGCAAAGTGCTGCTAACACAGCGTCCAAGTCTGGCTGTGGGAGCAGCCCCACTAGGCCAGTTCTGTTGGGTGGGGTTATGTCCAACCTCAGTGCCCCTACCCAGGAGGGAAGCACTCTGAATAGCCCCCACTCAGGTACACAAAGGCAGACGGCTGGGTGGGAGGGGGCACAGCTCTTGAGACTCACCCTAGGTGGAGTACCAGGGATGACCTGAACCATAGCCCCATCCTCTTCAAGACTTCACTGCCTTTGGTTATCAGACCCCTGTACCTCAAACCCTCCATCCACAAGCCCTCGCTGCTGCCATGCCCCATAGCCTGGGACAGCCAGGCTGCATAGAGTCTCTGCTTGGTCCCATAATCCAGATGCCCAGGCTCCACTCAGGCCCATTCTCGGTGACAGAAGGCATTCAACTGGAAACAGGGTCCCGGGGGTGTGGGGAGGAGGTGGACAGGACCTCAGGCCAGGGGAGAAAGGAGAAAAGGGCAGCTGACCATGAGGTTAAGATATGGAAGTGCATTTGCAGGAGGGGGTGGGGGTGGGGAGGTGGTAGAGAAATTGACTTTTTGAATGGAGAGGCTGGGGTGGCCGTGGACCCTAGGCTCCTTCCCCATAGCAGGCCGAGGGTCCGGAGTCCGGGTGCCTTTGCTCCCCAGATGGGGTGGAAGTGAGCGGAGCGCTGTCAGATCACCTCAACCTGGGCTTCCCGGAAGAGGAGAGGGGTCGGATAGTTCTGGGGGTGTCAGGAGTGTAGGGCTGGCTTTTGTGGACGGGTCACTAAGCCCTTCCACTCCCCCCACCCTCCACTGAGTAAAAGACCCCATGGGGTTGGAGAGTTGCCACAGTGAGATCCCAGAAGGTTCGAGAGGTGACTTTGAGTCCCCGGGAGTAGGGCTCGCGGAGGGGCTCCACAGTGCCTAGGTCCCCTCCAACCCTCGCGCCCCCAAATTTACCTGGGCGCTGCGGCCGGGCCGGGGGCGCTGGTTTGGCGTTGCCGCGGGGCAGGCTCATGCCGCGTCACAGCGAGGCCGGCGGGGGCGGCGGGGCGGCGGCGCCGGACGCCGGGCGCCGGGCTCCGGGCGGGGACGGCAAGGGAGGCGCGGCCGCCGGGCTCCGACTCGGGCTGGGACTGAACTCCGCACCCTCCCCCGCCCGATCCCAACGCCCAGCCCTGCCCTACCGGC